ACCACAATGCTTGTCTCACTTACTGTCCTATACTAGGAGTAGACAGGGTCTCACTTTGTATTCCAGATTGGCCTTGAAGTTAATATGTAGACCAGGCTGGCCTTGAACTTGAGTGATCCTGCTTTTTCTTCCCAGGTCCTGGGGTTAGAGGCATGTGCCACCACACCCAGTTGCAACATTTTAAAATGGCTACCTTGTATCACCATTTATTGAATCACTCCCTCTCCCTGATTCATAGGCGCAGCAGTTAGCATAATTTATCTAAAAACAGTCAACTTCGTTCTGCATGGCCTCTAAATGCCTTCAAAGCAAGTATCTTGCAGTTCCATTGCTAGAAATCTACCCTGAGATGATGTTTATATTTTTGATAAGTGACCCCTATATATGGAACAGATTAAAAGACCCTGGGTTATTTTGTGTGTCTGTTGGTTTTGGTTTTTCAAATATATTAGTTATTGGCCTTTTTTTTTTTTTTTTTTTTTGTCTTTTTGAGGCAGAATCTTGCTATGCAGTTCAGGCTGGTCTTGAGCTCCCTTTGTAGTCCAAACTGGTCTCAAATTTGCAGTGATCCTCCTGGCTCAGCCTCCCAAGTGCTAGGACTACAGGCGTGTGCTACTATGCCCAGTGTTACTGGCCTCTTGTCAGAAGACCAGAAGGAGATACGTGATGAAAGCTGTAGACCATACATACCAAGAGTAGAAAGAAGGTGGCCAGAGGAGAGTAATATGAACGTTGTGTGGGAAAGAGCACCAGAAGCAAGGCACCTTAAGCAGTGTAGGAGTTGAAGTGTTCTAAAGCAGCTTATACATGGGGATGAGTGTATATAGGCAGAGAAATTTCATTAATAGTATCCAAAAGTATTGAGAAAATACTTCAAATTTGAGTCAAGATGATTATCCTTTTTAAAATTGTTAACCCATTGCTGCCGTCTAGTGCCACTTCATGAAGAAAGAAGGGAAATTATATGTTCTTGTTTTTGTCTTTTTGAGACAGGGTCTCACTATGCAGTTCAGGCTGGCCTTGAGCTTACTTGGCAGCGTAGGCTAATCTCAAACTGGCAGCGAGCCTCCTGCCTTATCCTCCTGAGTACTGGGGTTAAAGGTGTGCCCCCCGCCTGGCTGGGAAATTATATTTACATATGACATTAGGCATATGGTGTTGTATCTAATTGGAATTGAATGTTCAGGCTAGGTTAAGTTTTAAGAGATGCTAAAGGGTCAGCATTTGGAAGGTGAGGCAAGAGGGTTGCCAAAAGTTTGAGGCCCACTTGGCACAACCTAAACTGCATAGTGAAACCCTGTCTGAAAAATTAAAAAATCCCCAAAGTAAGATAATAAAGGAAATTCTAAAGCATGGTTCTCAGTTTCTTAATCATGGTTACTTTCCATGTTCTCTAGTATGGTTTGGCATCTGATAAACCATACATAGGCCATCTTTGATCACTTTTCCGCAGACAGGTACATTCTTGATAAATCTGTGTGAATAGGTGATGAGATAACTTGGAAATGCCTGGTCAAAGCAAACTTATTTTCTGTTCATTTTGAAGACCACCTGCCTACCTACATGTGCTGAAACAGTCTGTGGCATTGAAAATCTGAAATACTTATGATAAAAAAGTAAAGGAATTGGAAGTATGACTCTGATTTAAAGTTTATTTTGCCCAGTTCTTGGCAGATGACCTTAGTAAGCTGTTTCTGGCCCACGTGAAAGTTCTTTTATAATCATCAGGAAGTATAAACTGCCATACTTCTAGAAGTTTGAGACTTAATGTGAACTCTAGGGAGAAGGACTTGGTATAAACATATCCCGTATTTTTAGCCAAATTGACAATCTAAGGTTTGTTCCCTTGATGGCAAGGAGGCATAACAATTGGAAATAAAACTGATAGGAGAGCTAAACATTGGTTTTACGGGGCTAGGAATATAGCGCAGCGGCGCAAGTGCTTCCCTGGCAAGTGCAAGGTCCCGAGTTCGATTCCTGGTACCAAAAAAAAAAAGAAAACATTGGTTTTACTAATTTGGGAGGGTTATTGGGAAGGTGAAGATATGAATAGGATGATAGAGCAAGGAATTTTAAGCATTTCTTGCTCATCTCTTTCCTATTAAAATCTTTAATTGCTTCAGGGTAAAGCTTATCAACATATAAACCTATAGATGTGATTCTTGGATTTAAAAAGAGAAAGTAATTTAAAGATTCTAGTTTTTACTCACCAAATAAGACCACCTTGGTGATCCTTTCGTAGTGATCCTTTCCTAGAATGAAAAAAATAACAAGTACGACTGCATACCAGGATCAGAAATTTGAGTGCTCCCAATAATCTTTAGGAAAATAGTCAAGGAATAAAAGCATTTTGGTATCTTTTCCCTACTGGTTATATTTGCTGAAAACAATTTTAGGTAAGTAACTGATTTCTAGGATTTAAAATTCTGTACTTGTGAGCACCTAGATCTCAAGTATAACTTTGTATCTACAACCCACCCTCCCCCGCCCCCAAGTTGCCTAGCCTGGGCTCCTATTTTTAATTCTTCTGAGTCTCCCAGAATGCTGGGTTTATGTCCAAGTGGCACCAAATCTGGCCTTTTCCTGAGTGCTTTAAAGGGATGTGAATACACTACTGTTCTTTGAGGGTTTGGAGAAAATTTAGGATCTTCCATAAATTTTTATTTCTGAAATTCAAAAAAAGCTAAAGTACAGATCCATGGCATGGAGGTGGTTTATTCATCAAGGTTACTAGAAGAGATTGTGTAAAACCTAATTTATGTGGGTTAACAGCCCTGTTGAACGTCAATATGAGACATACATTGAGAGAAGTAAAAACTAGTCTAAAACTAGTAGAAGAGAAATAGGTATTACAAGATGGGCGTGGTGGCATACACCTATAATCCCAGCACTCAGGCTGAGGCAGGTGGATTGTTGGAAATTTGAGGCCAACCTGGTCTAGAAAGTGAGCTCAAGGCCAGCTGAACTGCATAGAGAGACACTGTCTCAAAAAAGACAAAAAAGGTGCTGGGGATATAGCTCAATGGCATAAGCGCCTGCCTGGCAAGCGCAAGGTCCAGAGTTTGATTCCCGGTACCCCAAAAAGGAGAAATTGGTATTACAGATTTGTGCCATCACAGCCACCCTGACAGTTTTTTTTTTTCTTCTCTGTTGAGGCGGGTTTTCACTATGCAGTTCAGGCTGGGCTCAATTTAGCAGACCTCCTGCCTTAGTGTCCTGGGTGCTTGGGATTAAAAGGTGTGCATGGTCATGCCCAGCACTTCACTTTTTTTTCCCCTGGATATTTGTAGTTAGGCTGGCCTTAAACTCTCTATACAGCCCAGGCGTACCTTCAACTGGCAATCCTATTTTGGCCTCTCTAGTGGGTTTGTAAGCATATGCCATCATGCCTGACCATATATATAGGCTGCTTAAGCATTTTGTCATAATTCATGTGTCATTTACATGGGTCGTGTAATTTTTAACGGTAGTGCTTGTTCATAGTTTGTATAATGGGTTGTCAAATCTGTTGCAAAAAGTACATGTGGAATGTACCTGAATATTACAGATCTGTTTAAAACTAGTCAGCACTGGCCCATTCCTTCTCTTGCTGGTTTTTACTTGGCGATTGCAAGTATTCAGTATTTTATGAAATGTGCACCTAACACGTTTACATCATCTATATAGACTAGTTTGTCATAATTCATGGATTGGAAGGCTAACCAGTATACTAGGCACTAGTATCTTTTTTGACTGAACATTCTCTAGTACCTTTTAAAGAAAAGTCAAAGTAAATCTTTTAAGGATGCCAGTCTTTGAAACCCTGTTCAACATAGGGGCTAGAGGAGGAATAAAACATTGTGTAGGTGAAAATGAATTCAGAGCTCGATGTATGGTAGCTACATGCCTATAATCCCAGCACTTGGCTGGCTGAGGCAGGAGGGTTGCCATGAGTTCAAGGCCTGTCTAGGCTAATAGTAAGTTCAAGGCCAATCTGAATTTACAGTGTAACACTTTGTCTCAAAAAAACGAAAAAGGAAATTGAAGTGGTACGATCATGCATTTCCATGTAATTATGTCATGATTGAGCCTCCATAGTATATTTACAAAGATCATTTTTGGTTTTAGTCTAAGGCAAAGTATTTCTTTTACTGTTTTTTATCTGCCTGTTCTACATGAGAGTTTTATCATCATCACCATCTAATATTATTAAGGAATATTGTAGGTTGTGAAAAAGTAGGTTTATTCATTGCAGTCTATAAAAAGGTGGTATTGATATTCATGTATGTATAACGTTTAATTGAAGTACCTGGAAATAGGCATTTCCAGATTATAAATTGATTATTATTTGTGGCCTCCGTGTTAACTTCTCTTTAAAGAAGTTTAAAGAGACTGGCAATTCAGCTCAGTGGTGCCATGCTTTCCTAGCATGTGTGCGGCCCTGGGCTTGAACCCCAGTACCCTGGGGAGAACAGTCAATTGTATTTGAAGAGTAAATATAAGTTATCCACATTGAACTTGCTCAAGAATGTTGTAAAATTTGAAGTTGTGTATTTGGTGGCCAATGAGTAAGATTTATTTTTAATAGAAACAGTACAAAAGGTGATAGAATTATTGAGGACAAGGAATTCTTAACAGGAAAAGTGAAAAATAGCCAAAACTGATAAAGACCTTAAGGGAGTCTTATTTGCTTTATTTGTATTACAGAAAAGAATTAATCTCCTTGGAATTGAAAATGTCCAATAGGATTATGTTACATATTGTCTTGAGTGGAAATGTCCCCTGAGAAATGATAATTTAGTGCTCTTGGAATAGAATTGAGTGCAGAGGAAGTTGAAATTCTTCAAGGATATATCAAGAGCACTAATCTCTCAATAGTAATTACTTGATGCTGTAACATTCTTTTTTTAAGTTGACTCTAGGTAGTCGCAGTAATTTTCAGAATGAGAGTATAGAAGTTATGTTAATATTCTCTTGTAGCATCTCCATCGGTTCACCTGAATGCTTTTTTTTTTTCCTAGGTTTTTGTCACTGTCAGCAACCTTATCTTCAGACACCATGGCTAGCAATGTTACCAACAAGACAGATCCTCGCTCCATGAATTCCCGTGTGTTCATTGGGAATCTCAACACACTTGTGGTGAAGAAATCTGATGTGGAGGCGATCTTCTCGAAGTATGGCAAAATTGTGGGTTGCTCTGTTCATAAGGGCTTTGCCTTCGTCCAGTATGTTAATGAGAGGAATGCCCGGGCTGCTGTAGCTGGAGAGGATGGCAGAATGATTGCTGGCCAGGTTTTAGGTAAGGTCTAAGTTGAAATAATTTTTTCATTGATATAATTAATGCTGTTTTTTTTTTTTTTTTTTTTCAATTTTATTTTAAAGAGAGTAGTAAATGACAGGGAAAAAAAAGAATAATAGCAGCATACCAGCATCTCAAACATAAACAAACCCAAGCAAGAACATTTAAAGTGATAGGGTTTCAAGACAAAATAGTATGAATTAACAGTGGTTGTTTATTACGTATTGTTATCTTCAACTACCTTGCTCAGATTGTTCATGTTTTTCTATTTCTCACCTTTTCTCTTACTTTTCTTTTTTCTTCGAGGCAGGGTCTCAGTATGTAGTTTAAGCTGGTCTCAGACTTGTAGAGATATTACTGCTTCAGCTTCCCCAGTGGAGTATAGGCAGGCATCATACTGCCAGGCTTATCTCCCTCTTCCTAAAGTCAATAATCTGAGATATTTATGCTGGGGTGTTGTGATTATAATTTTAACATGGGAAGTTTTAGGCTTGTGGGCATAATGAGGTAGAAGATATTTTTTAGGGGGGGCCTCAGTACTGGGTATTGAACCAGTACAAACAAACATTATGTCATTCCCTGCTTGATGGGTGTTTTTTTTTCTGTGCTGGGAATCGAACTCAGCCTTGTGCTTGCCAAGCAAGGTGCAGTGGTGCTGAGCTATGTCCCTGGCCCTTGATGGGTATTCTTTATTGTGCCCTTCTGTGACAAAGAGGCTGGACAATTCTTGGGTAAAATAGAACAATAATGATATTTTATAATTTGGAAATTTTGCCTGTGTGGCTGTACCCTCTCCTTAGGTAGACAGGGAGAGATAATGTAGCTTAGTTGCATATGGGCTCTTGAGTTCTGCCTTAAGTGTTTCGTGTCCATGTGTGATGGGGCAAGCTGTGTAGAGGCTGACTCTTACATTTCCTCTGTTAAAATGAGAAACATTGAAGCTAGTAGTACCTTAGACTACTTCATATTTCCTTATCTGAGATAGTCATTCTAGGTTGTCAAAATGACATTTGAGGAAAATCTTCTCGTATAAGTTTTAACATGTTGAGACAGTTATAAGAAGTATAGAGCAGTTGTAATTGAAAATATCCCATTTTTCTTACCCCTTTCTCCTGTATTTAGTGTACAGGAAAACCCACACTGTATGAAAAAAAAATTTTTTTTTCAACTGGGAATCTGACTCTGGACCTTGTGCTTGCCAGGCAGGCACTGTGCCACTGAGCTGTATCCCTGGTCTGAAAATGACCATGTTAGTGATTTATTATGTACTTTTAACTGTCGGTGGAATTTTGTTACAAAAATGGAATGTAATGAACCTACCTCATCCTATTTTTAATGTATCAACATTTAAGTGATTGTTATACATAGCAATATTTTTACAGAATTTAAAAATCTGTTTATGTATAGCAGATAAGGTCTTTGGGCTTTTTTTTTTTTTTTGAAAGTTTTGAATGTGTGCTATAAGGTAGCCTGGTATTTAGATTTTTTTGCTTGAATTTTTTTTTTTTTCTTTTTGGACACAGGGTTTTCCTATGTATGTAGTCTAGGTCAGTCTTCAACTCCCAGAGATTGTCCTGCCTCTGTTTTCAAAGTGCTGGGATTACAGGCATGTACCACCAGATGTGTTTTTTTTGCCTGAACCTCTTGAGTAGCTAGGATTATTGGCTTTATACCATGATACTTGGATTTGCAGAGTTTATGTTTTTTTAAATTAATGCAAACCACATTGCCATTATCTATATAGGTTTTTTTTGTTGTTTTTTTTGTCTTTGAGACAGGGTCTCGCTATGCCAGTTCAGGCTGACCTTGAGTTCAGTTTGTAGCCCAGGCTGGTCTCGAACTCACAGCGATTCTCCTGCCTCAGCCTCTCGAGTGCTAGGTTCATACGCATGCGCTCCCACGCCCGGTTTACATAGTTGTGTGTGCGTGCGCGCGCGTGTGTGTATGTATGTGTTAATGAGATTTGAACCTAGGAGCACTCACTCTATTAAGTATATTCTGAACCCTTTTCATTTGAGACAAGGCCTTCCTAAATTGCCCCAACATTCCTCACATTTGTGATCCTTCTGCCTCAGCCTTCTAAGTTAGTGAAATGACTCAGTATAGTAATTTAGGGCACCATAAAATAGTTTATTGATAGTTACCTCAGCGTGATAGGTGGGTTTTTACATCATACAGATATAGAAGTTTGCATGAGTCCAAAGTCAAAACTTCTGAAAGCTAAATTGTAATAAAGTTTACATGACATTCAATAATACAGAGAAATTAAGAGGATATTCTAGCTGGGCATGGTGGCAAAGCCTGTAATTCCAGCACTTGGGAGGCTGAGGCAGAAAGGATCGTTGTAAATTTGAGACTAGCCTGGGCTACAAAGTGAGCCCAAGGCCAGCCTGAACTGCATAGTGAGATCCTGTCTCAAAAAAGATAAAAAAGTTAAAAGGATAGTCATCTAGTGCTCATCAGCAAACAGACCATGTAATCACATTTCTCAGTTGATTTTTTTGAACTGAATTTTACAGAGCTGTCTTACTGCCCTTGGTGTTTTGATAAGTTGGCTTTTTATTTTATTTTTATTTTTTTGTCTTTTTGAGAATGGGTCTCACTATGCAGTTCAGGGTGGCCTTGAGCTTACTTTGTAGTCCAGGCTGGTCTCAAATTCACAGTTAATTCTCCTACCTCAGCCTCCCATGTACTGATTTGCCAGGCCTAAGTGGGCTTTTTAGAACAGGAAGGAAAAGACCGTGAACCCTTGTTAGTAGGGAATGGGTAACTTTACATCTGAGATTACTCACCCATTGAAGTAAATCTATAAAGCCGTTTGCAGTGAGACCATCATTGTTAGTCATTGATAGGAATAGGAACCGAGAGTAGAATGGTGAGAGTTGAATTTTGATATGATCGCTGAGGATTGAGTATACCAAAGACAAACTTAATATGTCTGAGGAAGAAGTCTCTTAAGTCACAGTGCAAAGAAATGAAGAGCTAAATCCTAACCTGGTGGAGATTTTGTAAACATTTTGTATGGCTTGGGAATATAACATTGTTAGATCTTTGTTGATTTATGTCACTGTAATTCAAACTTTTAATCCCTAGACTTAAATTTTTATTTTTGTTTGTGCTTTTGTTTTTCAGATATTAATCTGGCTGCAGAGCCAAAAGTGAACAGAGGAAAAGCAGGTGTGAAACGATCTGCAGCGGAGATGTACGGGTCAGTACCAGAACACCCTTCTCCGTCCCCTCTACTCAGGTCCGGAACTTTATTATTTATAACTGCATTGTGTCCATCAGTGGGCATCTTCTCTATCTGTTTTCTGGATGTGGGGAGGGTTTAATGTGTAATGTGTATTGTGCAAAAGTAATGGTTTTTAAATTGTATTGATGTACCTTTTTCCTGTATACTTAAAAAGTATCAGATCCCTGAGATTTTTGTTAATAAAGAGTAGTTTGGTCTTTATATCATAAATTGAAATCCTTTAAAAGTTGTTTAGCTTTTTAGAAGTTGGGGTATAAGTTTAATTTACTGTTACATTTTTCAGACTTTATTTTTGCTATGTTGTGTGTTGAATTTAGTGAACTTACTTAGTACTAACTGTTTTACTGTGACCAGTGGTATAAAGTGATTGGAATGTAGTGATTTACATGAATTATTTGGGTTTATTCCATGTTAATTTTACTGATATTTGTTGTTTGGCATGTTGCCCCCCCCTTCTGCTGTTGTGAGTTGACATCAGCATCTCCAAATTAATCTTCTTTGATATTTATTTTTCAGCTCCTCTTTTGATTTGGACTATGACTTTCAACGTGATTATTATGACAGGTATGTTGAAGGTATTTTCTTTTGTCTATCCTGGTAAAAACTACTGAAAATCATTTTATTTCCCTTTTGAAGTAATGAGCAGCTGACATATTTTCAAAAAGATGTTCCCTTTCCTCTAAAATGAAACAACAAAAACCTACCCAGGTTGCTATGTAGACTAGATACAGTGACTTTTTTATGAATTAAAAAAAAAAAATGTATGGAAGGGGATCACAGTAAAATTTTAAAAAATGATCCCTAATCTTAAAAATTGTCTCCTTTGAACAAACCAACCAGTAAAAATTAGAATGTAGTAGGCAATATATATAATTGTAAAAGTTACTTTAGGTTACTTTAGGAGTTGAAGTGTTAATGTTTATATTGTAATTTGGGGAGCTTTTGCAATTCTAAAGGTCAAGATTACAAAATTCTTAGACCTTTAGAACAGCATTAGTGTTGGAGCCCCAAGACATAAAACTAAAAGATACATAGAATAGAGCTAGATTGCGTGGCTTTCAGCGCTGGATTTAGAACTGTTGTAGCAAGTGGTTATCAGGGACCAGCGTGATACACTGAAAACGTATTGACATTGATAATAGTTTTAATAAAAGAATGAGTTTTATTTGGTTTTCTCTCCCTTTTTAAAATTATGTGGTAGGCAGAAATACATTGCTAGTGCTTTGGTACAGAGAGAGTGAGTGTGTGTAAAATTATTCTGTAAGTTACGCAGTACATGGACTACACCTCTGCCCCTTTTGAAACAGGTTTTTGCTGTATTTGTCGTGGTGGCCTTGAACTCACAGCAACCCTTATGCCTTAACCTCAGCCTCAAGTGCTAGCTTACGGGGGTGTGCCACTACCTAGCTGTACCTCTTTTTGTATATATGAAGGACTCTACTCTATTTTTCATCTTAAAATAATGGTATTCCATACATTACATGTGTCATCCAGGGTTGCTCACTCCTCCAGCCCCAGTATTGGGGTTTGAACCTAGAGCTAGCATGCTGACACTGAGCTACATTCCCAGCCATTTTTATTTGAGACATGGTCTTGCTAAGTAGCCCAACTTCATTCCAACTTGGAATCTTCTTGACTACTCAGGATTATAGGCATGTGCCAATGTGATTAGTTTTGGTACATCAGTCTCTGCTTTTGTGTGTGCACTTTTTTGTTTTATATAGGGTTGCACTGTATAGTTCAGGCTGACCTTACCTTGAACTCAGTGATCCTTCTGTCTCAGTCTTACAAGTCCTGGGGTGATAGATGTGTGTCTCCATATCACGCTCACTTTCTGCTCTTATAGAACAGGTAATAGTTTCCTTGATTATGGAATGTTTCAGAGAGAAATGTTTGAACTGAGTTCATCAGTCATAGCAAGCAATTTGTCTAAAGGAGTCAATTCAGATAGTAAACAGTACCAGCAAATGTCTGAAAGTGAACACTTAATGTATGTGAAAAATGCTACACATAGGCTATGATCTAGCCATTAAAAGGCCAGAAGAACAAGGCTGGAATATTCGAGTCTGCAAGGATCTGGAATGCAATGTCAGGGTTCTCTTCTTTGGGTCTCTTAAATAATAACCAAAAATGGTAGTTTGTGTTCCAGTGTTTTGAAGACTAGTGTTTCAGGTTTTGAGACAGTCTTGCTTTGTAGTTAAGGTTGCTCTTGAACTCACCTGTGTAGCCAAAGTTGTCTTCAGATGTATGATCCTCCTGCCTTAGACTCCTGAGGGCTTGTAATAATACAGGGATGAGCCACCAAGCCTGGCTTGAATGAGAAGTAGTGGTTTTTTTTTTTTTTTAACTTTGAAAATTCTTTTCAAAAGAATGAAGACTTTCTAGTTAGATCTAGCATTTCTTTCCTACTAAAAAAAGTTGGTCAACAGTTAATTGACTTGAAGGTATTGAGTCAGAATCAGCTGCCTTTTATGCACATCAAAATCTCTTGTCCACAAGTTAAAACTTAATGAACAGGACTGAGGATGTATGTAGTTCAGTGGTAGGTACTTGCATAGCATGTGCAGGTCCCTGGAGTACTGTAAAAACTGAGATATTTATGATCAGCTACACCTGTAAGGTTTAGCAGCTGGTCTTAAGTAGGCTGTGATATACAGGTACTTTTTTTTTTTTTTACCACTTCCCCCATGATATAACTTATTTTCAGTCACAGTGGATATTCAGTGGCAGAAACCCTGAGAAAAATGGTATTGTGCCACGACACCCTAAATTTAGAAGAATTCTGATACCTTCTGGTCTGATTTATGGGCTGTCATGGATTCTATGAAACTTGTGTTTTAAATTCACTGTAATTGTACTGAAAATTTTAGCATGTTTATTTCCCCTAATGAGAACAGTGCTCATTAAAATTATATTGGGTCATAATAAGGTATATAAAATATCTAACTGAGTAAATTTGAAAAATATTCTAAAGGAGAGATTTGAAAAGAGATCATTTAAAAAGTAGGTGACAATAATTCGGTGAAATATTGACAAAAATTTTTGATAGTTGCTATTTAGTTTTTTTTTTTTTTTTTAATTTTTTTTTTTTTTTTGTACCGGGAATTGAACGGAGGACCTCACACTTACCAAACAGGTGCTGTGTCACTGAGCTAAATCCCTGCCCCTTGTCTTTTTGAGACGGTCTCGTTACACAATTCAGGCTCACTTTGTACCCCAGGCTTGTCTCAAACTTGCAGTGATCCTCCTGCCTCAGCCCCTGAGTGCTGGCAATACAGGTGTGTCCCACACACCCAGCTCAGTTAATATGTTTTAAGATAGTATGAAGTTGAAAATAGTGCCTCATTGTAGTGGAATGTAGCAGATCTAGGAAGCTTAGTAGAGGACAGAGTTGAAAACTTTAAAGTTCATTTATAACCCTTTTAGCATACAAGTTTTTGTTTTGAGACAGAGTTTTGCTGTGTAATTCAGGCTGAAGTACAAAATTTTAAAGTAAAATCCTAGTGACTTACTGAGCCTTTATCAGTTATGCCAAATTTCTTATTAAAAGAAGGTAGCTAAGCCGGACATGGGACATGGTGGCGTGTGCCTGTAATCCCAGCACTCAGGAGGCTGAGGCAGGAGGATCATTGCGAGCTCAAGACCAGCCTGGCTACAAAGTGAGCTCAGGGCCAGCCTGAACTGCATAGCAAGACCCTGTCTCAAAAAGACCAAAAAAAAAAGATGTAGGAGTTAGCAATTTGGCTCTAGGATTTACTTTAAGGTTCTGGGTCTTCTATATAAATTGGAGTTAAATAAGACCATGTAATTTTCATGAATATTTAAGAACAATTTAGCAATTTGTGATTTCTTTAAGTCTATTTCCTTATTTTCCAGGTCCTTGGGTCTTAAGGTTCTGTTATGTGTTGTAGCTGTAGGTAGTAGCTCTATAGAGTGGAGCAAAGAAAGATTGAGTGATCCAAACCTTGTCAATTAGCAGACCAAGTTGTAATCAAAGCCCTGAAATAGTGTAATCTGGGTTTTCTAGTCCTTGTAATAATAATTATATGTATAGGGCTGCTATCAAAAGTGAAGAAAACATGATACTCATTATATATGGCCCAAGTATGAGTATTTAGTATCAATTGCAGTTTTTTTCTTGAGTGTGAGAACTCATTTTTATTATCAAAACCTCTATAGATTGCTCTCTAGACTGAAAATTAGACATGTTAATGAATATACTTTTTGGCTGGTAATGCTGATGTATGTTAAGAGTACCTGTATATTTTGTTGATACTAATACGAAACAGAAGGATTTCGTTGACAGCCTCCCACTTTTTTCCCCTTAAAAAACATTTCTAATATACTTATAATTCATTTTATGCTTGACAACAGTGCTACAAACTAATTCAAAATAAAGAGAACAATAGTTGTTTGTTTGCTTTTTTTTTGGTCTTTTTGAGAGGTGGTGACATTGAAGTTGGTGCTGACCTTGATCTTACTTTGTAGCCAGGCTGGTCTTGAACTCGCAATGATCCTCCTGGCTCAGCGTCGCCCCCCCGCCGGCCGATGCTGGAATTACACCACACCAGGCCATTGATGTGTTTTCATTTATTTTTGGGAGATGGGAGCTCACTGTGTAGTCTTTGTAGCCTTTAGTTTCTTGTAGCCCAGGCTGGTCTGGAACTTCTGGTGATTCTCCTGTCTCAGCTTCTGGAGTGCTGACCTAACAGGCGTGCACCACCGCACCTGGCCTACTTTATGTATTTTTTAGTTTAGCCTGGCTCTTAAGAAATATACCTGGCTGGGCATGATTGCTTACAACTGTATTCTCACTCAGGAAGCTGAGGCCAGCCCATGCTACATACAGTGAGTTCAAGGACAGCCTGGACTACAGCAAGACACTTGTCTCAGAAAACCTAAAAAAAAAAACCCTGCAATATTTCAATTCCGGTGTGTCTAAAGGAGGGTAGAATGAGGGGCCATTTAGTCATCAGCCTCTGTAGTCAGTGTTTTTTGTGTGTTCTGAAATTACTGTAGCTACATCTCCTGCCCCTATCTTAGCATTTCTGACTTTATTTTATCCAGAAATGTTTCAGTGTAGATCTTAAAAAGATAAATACTGCCTCTTTTTTTTATTTTAAAGGACAGGGTCTATGTAGTTCAGGTTTGCCTTGAATTTAATATGTATCCCAAGTGGGCCTCAGACTGGCCTCAATCTTTCTGCCTCAGCTTCCTGAAGTGTGCTGGGCTCACAGGTGTGTTTGCTACCACGTGCACCGAAATTCTAGACTGACCCAGGATGTGATCATTTTTGCATAGATTGGATTTTGCTGATTGTATGTTTGGTAGTGTGTTCTTCTGCTCTGTGTAGGTAGATCTGGCGGCTTGGTCAGATTTAGACTTTATTTCATCTTTTATGGGTGGATGGAAGAGGAAAGCAGAATATTTCAGTGATATTTTGTGCTCCTACTGTGATAACTTGCCTTTTAACAGAAAATGTAAGAATGTATTCATTGCATATTGTATGAGGAGCAACATCTATTTTAACAATGAGGAACTAGGTGATTTAACAGTATTTGTTG